ACCTATGTCTAACGATAATCATATTTCCCGATAATGGTATTTTATGACAAAATGCAACAAGGAATTGAAACTTTTCTATCTGTTTGTACATCACGAAATTTGCCTATTATATAAATAGTGAATCATCTTATAAATACTGAAAAATAAAAAATTCTACCGGGGGGAAAGACTTTAAAATAAAACCGGAATCTACCTATGTCTAACGATAATCATATTTCCCGATAATGGTATTTTATGACAAAATGCAACAAGGAATTGAAACTTTTCTATCATTTTGTACATCACGAAATTTGCTTATTATATTATATAATGAATTATCTTACAAATATCAAAAATAAAAAATTCTACCGGGGGGAAAGACTTTAAAATAAAACCGGAATCTACCTATGTCTAACGATAATCATATTTCCCGATAATGGTATTTTATGACAAAATGCAACAAGGAATTGAAACTTTTCTATCAATTTGTACATCACGAAATTTGCTTATTATATTATATAGTGAATTATCTTACAAATATCGAAAATTGAAAAAATTCTACCGGGGGAAAGACTTTAAAATAAAACCGGAATCTACCTATGTCTAACGATAATCATATTTCCCGATAATGGTATTTTATGACAAAATGCAACAAGGAATTGAAACTTTTCTATCAATTTGTACATCACGAAATTTGCCTATTATATAAAATAGTGACTCATCTTATAAATACTGAAAAATAAAAAATTCTACCGGGGGGAAAGACTTTAAAATAAAACCGGAATCTACCTATGTCTAACGATAATCATAATTCCCGATAATGGTATTTTATGACAAAATGCAACAAGGAATTGAAACTTTTCTATCAATTTGTACATCACGAAATTTGCCTATTATATAAAATAGTGAATCATCTTATAAATACTGAAAAATAAAAAAATTCTACCGGGGGGAAAGACTTTAAAATAAAACCGGAATCTACCTATGTCTAACGATAATCATATTTCCCGATAATGGTATTTTATGACAAAATGCAACAAGGAATTGAAACTTTTCTATCATTTTGTACATCACGAAATTTGCCTATTATATAAAATATTGACTCATCTTATAAATACTGAAAAATAAAAAAATTCTACCGGGGGGAAAGACTTTAAAATAAAACCGGAATCTACCTATGTCTAACGATAATCATAATTCCCGATAATGGTATTTTATGACAAAATGCAACAAGGAATTGAAACTTTTCTATTTGTTTGTACATCACGAAATTTGCTTATTATATTATATAGTGAATTATCTTACAAATATGAAATATAAAAAATTCTACCGGGGGGAAAGACTTTAAAATAAAACCGGAATCTACCTATGTCTAACGATAATCATATTTCCCGATAATGGTATTTTATGACAAAATGCAACAAGGAATTGAAACTTTTCTATTATTTGTACATCACGAAATTTGCTTATTATATTATATAGTGAATTATCTTACAAATATTGAAAAATAAAAAAATTCTACCGGGGGAAAGACTTTAAAATAAAACCGGAATCTACCTATGTCTAACGATAATCATATTTCCCGATAATGGTATTTTATGACAAAATGCAACAAGGAATTGAAACTTTTCTATTTGTTTGTACATCACGAAATTTGCTTATTATATTATATAATGAATTATCTTACAAATATCAAATATTGAAAAAATTCTACCGGGGGGAAAGACTTTAAAATAAAACCGGAATCTACCTATGTCTAACGATAATCATATTTCCCGATAATGGTATTTTATGACAAAATGCAACAAGGAATTGAAACTTTTCTATTTGTTTGTACATCACGAAATTTGCTTACTATATTATATAGTGAATTATCTTTCACATATTGAAAAATAAAAAAATTCTACCGGGGGGAAAGACTTTAAAATAAAACCGGAATCTATCTATGTCTAACGATAATCATATTTCCCGATAATGGTATTTTATGACAAAATGCAACAAGGAATTGAAACTTTTCTATTTGTTTGTACATCACGAAATTTGCTTATTATATTATATAATGAATTATCTTTCACATATTGAAAAATAAAAAAATTCTACCGGGGGGAAAGACTTTAAAATAAAACCGGAATCTACTATGTCTAACGATAATCATAATCACAATTCCCGATAATGGTATTTTATGACAAAATGCAACAAGGAATTGAAACTTTTCTATCAATTTGTACATCACGAAATTTGCCTATTATATAAAATAGTGAATCATCTTATAAATACTGAAAAATAAAAAAATTCTACCGGGGGGAAAGACTTTCAAATAAAACCGAAATCTACTTATGTCCAACGATAATCCTATTTCCCGACAATGGTATTTTATGACAAAATGCAACAAGGAATTGAATCTTTTCTATCAATTTGTACATCACGAAATTTTCCTATTATATAAAATAGTAACTCATCTTATAAATACTGAAAAATAAAAAAATTCTACCGGGGGGAAAGACTTTCAAATAAAACCGGAATCTACCTATGTCCAACGATAATCACAATTCCCGATAATGGTATTTTATGACAAAATGCAACAAGGAATTGAAACTTTCCTATCAATTTGTACATCACGAAATTTTCCTATTATATAAAATAGTGACTCATCTTATAAATACTGAAAAATAAAAAAATTCTACCGGGGGGAAAGACTTTAAAATAAAACCGGAATCTACCTAATTCGTAGTCGTTTCTATGATATTCGGAGTCGGGGATAAAGCCGTAGTCGTTTCTATTACATTCGGACTTGGAGTCAAAGTCGTAATTCGTAGTCGTTTCTATTACATTCGGACTTGCAGTCAAAGTCGTAATTTGTAGTCGTTTCTATTACATTCGGACTTGGAGTCAAAGTCGTTATTCGTAGTCGTTTCTATTACATTCGGACTTGGAGTCAAAGTCGTAATTCGTAGTTGTTTCTATTACATTCGGACTTGCAGTCAAAGTCGTAATTCGTAGTCGTTTCTATGATATTCGGAGTCGGGGATAAAGCCGTAGTCGTTTCTATTACATTCGGACTTGGAGTCAAAGCCGTAATTCGTAGTCGTTTCTATGATATTCGGAGTCGGGGTCAATGCCGTAGTCGTTTCTATTACATTCGGACTTGGAGTCAAAGCCGTAATTCGTAGTCGTTTCTATGATATTCGGAGTCGGGGTCAAAGCCGTGGTTGTTTCTATTATATTCGGACTTGCAGTCAAAGTCGTAATTCGTAGTCGTTTTTATGATATTCGGAGTCGGGGTCAAAGCCGTAGTTGTTTCTATGATATTCGGACTTGGAGTCGGAACCGTAGTTGTTTCTATAATATTTGGAGTCGGATTCCAAGTTCTTATTTTGTTAATTGCGGAGTCGGTATCAAAATCATAGTTTTTTTCATTTTTTTATAATATTTGGAGTCAAAGCCGTAGTCCGTAGTTGTTTCTATGATATTCGGAGTCGGGGTCAAAGCCGTAGTTGTTTCTATTATATTCGGACTTGGAGTCAAAGCCGTAATTCGTAGTCGTTTCTATGATATTCGGAGTCGGGACAAAGTCCTAGTTGTTTCTATAATATTTGGAGTCGGATTTCAAATTAAAATTTTGTTAATTGCGGAGTTGGAGTCAAAGCCGTAGTTGTTTCTATAATATTTGGAGTCGGATTTCAAATTAAAATTTTGTTAATTGCGGAGTTGGAGTCAAAGCCGTAGTTGTTTCTATAATATTTGGAGTCGGATTTCAAATTAAAATTTTGTTAATTGCGGAGTTGGAGTCAAAGCCGTAGTTGTTTCTATAATATTTGGAGTCGGATTTCAAATTAAAATTTTGTTAATTGCGGAGTTGGAGTCAAAGTCGTAGTTGTTTCTAGAATATTTGGAGTCGGATTCCGAATTGAAATTTTTTTAATTGCGGAGTTGGAGTCAAAGCCGTAGTTGTTTCTAGAATATTTGGAGTCGGATTCCAAATTCAAATTTTGTTAATTGCGGAGTTGGA